TATTCCAAACAAACGGATGTGGCATAAATTCTAGAAAAAAGAGAAATTCCAAGGTGAAACGTGTGTTTGCACAGGCATGACGACTGCAACGAGAATTTATTAGGTATGTTTACAGAGTAAATACGCGAGGAAAGGAAGCGTTTAAGAAAGATATTTACGAGTGTACCAAGAAAGATAGAAAGTGTCGCGGATTAGTTCCAGAAATACGGAAGTATGTTTATTGTTACGAATAATACCATCACAAATATATATGGAAAAATATCGGTTTGTAAAACTGTATTTTTGGTGTTCCTCCATCGAAAATATCGTACAATTTTTCTTTTTTTTAAATTTCATATCAAAACTTTCTTCTTTTCTTCTCTTTATGAAATATAAAATTATATTCAAAGTACAATTTATTCTTATGTACATCATTATTATAAATCGTAGAGATATATGTTTTTATTTGTGTCCACGTGCTCTTCCAAGAAAAAAAAAAAGAAATAAAAAAAGAAATTTCAGAATTCCATTCGATTCGAAGAGTCACTATAAATTTACAGGAATAAATACGTCGATATTTCTAGCTGACATCAGCTGGATCTTGAATCCCAATCCTTCCTTTCTGCCGCTGCACCCCCGTTGCACCCTTCTTCCCACTTTCCATTCTCTCTATTCCACCTTTCTCCCTTTCCAATCCATATTCCGATGTTAAACAATATTTCTCTTCTCACCCATTTTCTCCCTTTTGTCTCATCAGCATCGCCTTTGTACTTTTTTTTTTTTTCACTTTTCTTTCTTCTTTCATGCCTCATTCTTGTTTTTCTTTTTCTTTTTTCTTTTTTTAAATTTAATCTCCGATGGAATACACTTTCCTACATTTCTTCTTTCGTTCCAATCATTTTTATTTTCTCAACCAGATCCCTTCTCGTTCCTTTTTCTACGGTTCTTGTTTCAACATGACCCCTTATCTCACGTTGACATTTTCATAGGACATATTTTACACTTTATTCAACGTTTCTACCCTATTCCACCCTTGAAAAGCGCCCAAGAGCACCATAAACAGCGCATAAATGCCCCCTTATCCTTCCCTATTTTTCTCCCATATTATTCTTTCTTACTTTTAATTTCCTCATTATTTTTCAAGTATTTTCTACCCCGATCGATTCTATCGCTTCTAATTTTCTACGCCACTTTCTCGTTTACTTTATCCACGTATTTCTTCCACCAACTCAATAAAGACTTATATATATATACGATTTTCTTCTCCTCGCTTATTCTTTCGCCAACCTGCTTCTCCATCCACCGTTTCCCCTTTGTACTCCTTCGCCCTCCCCCCTTTTCCTCCTCATCTAATTGTCTTCGTTTTGACCCTCATTACAGACCATTTTTTCTCGCCCCCGGCACATCTTCCATCTCGTACGACAATGACTCACCATTGTCTTTATTCTTTTTTCCCCGGCCACCTACTCTCGATCGACCACCAACACCACCCTCCTCCATCGATTTTTCGCAAGAACCGTATCTCTTCATCCGCGTTGACCACACACGTCTTCCTTCCGTTTTCTTTCCATTCAAATCCGCTCCCCACGCTTTGTTTGTCATCAATCTTACTTGCACCCCATCCGATCCCTCTCCTATTTCGTTTTATTCGCTTGAAATTTCTTTTCAGTGGAAATTTATTTTAAACCTGTACAATAAGTACGGTGTACACAGTAAGAGAAGAAACAAATAATTTATCGATCTTCTTAATACACTTTCGTTAATTTTGTAATCACACATTTTCACAAATTTATACATTTATATATAGTAATATTTTTTACTCGACCACCATCATTCACCATGTTTATAATGTTATCTACGTTTCCGGTATACATGCAATTTAACTCTCTCTCTCTCTTTCTCTCTCTATACACGCATATTCTTCGTTCAACACCCCTTTGAACCTATACCATCCCAAGAGGATCGTGTCCAGACCAGGGTGCAAGCATCACCTCCTCGTGTGATTCCACGTGTGCGCCTCTCCGTGACAAAGCCAGATTTAAGCCCCGCTTACGAGTCGGAGTTTTCCAGCTGGAATCTCTCTCTTCCCTCCCTCTTCCCTATTGCGACTACACGTATAACGATTTTCCTCCCCCCTGACGTTTCGTTATCAACCATAATAGACTGCGTTCCGTGGAACCAGAGTGAATGCACGCCGAGATTTAGAGGGAAATCTCACTCTCTCTCTCTCTCTCTCTCTCTCTCTCTCGTGTGTCGCC